AAAATGTGCAGGAAAGATCTCCAAGGGATAACCACAATATGACAACAATCTAGCTAAGCTACAAGTGAAATATGCTAAGACATATTGAGCACCTTTGCATTAAAAGATTTTGAAAAATGTTGAAGATTCTAGTATGGTGATAGCACGATTATTAACTTGGGAATACTTTTCAGTACTTCCTCTCGCACATTCGAAGACATATTAAAATGTTCGGATGAAGTCTCTGTAAGACGCGATGTATGAAATGGGTAGGGGTTGACGGAGAGGAATCTTTTCGGATACAAACTTAGATTCACTATTTTCATAGTGGGTTCCACAAAGATTCTTCTGAAGTTAATGCATGGCACCATTGTTTCTCAAGACATTTCTATTGTTTGGATGTTCGTTTAAAAAAATTCTATCTTAGAATTGGACTTCTCATATGGCTCAAGCGACAAAAATCAATATTTTTCCTCAGGTTAATGAGAAGCGAACCGTAATAACGAAACTCAAGATGAGTCAAAAATATCATCCTATCATTTCAAGAAGTCAGGAAAATCTTTTAGTTGCTGATAATTTATTCGCCGATGTCAATACCGAAGATGCACTGAATTGTTATAAAATACAAGTCGATGCATTATGGTTGGAAGAATCGCCATTGCTGCTCAATGCTTATCGTGAATGTAGTATCAATCATCAACTGAAAAATTCACAAGATCTTATTCGTATTTTGGATGTTGGTTGTGGTACGGGCGAAGTGCTGACGCGTCTCATTGGGCAGAATGGCTTATTCGAACAGATAAGTCGTTCTAAAGGCCAATTCCTTGAAATACACGGCGTCGAATCGGATAAATCAATGTATGAACTTTGCAAGCAACGATTAAATAATATAAGCACAATACAATGCGCTTCGGTGACGATTGAAAATGCATGTGCAACAAAATTGCCATTCGAATCAAACACGTTCGACATAGTTCTCAATCGTCACATGCTTCATGCAGTGCCTAAGGACACAATCCCAAATGTGTTAAAGGAAGCATATCGTGTTTTAAAACCAGATGGGATCATTCATTTTGTAGCTGAAGACATTGAAATGATTTATACATCGGTCGATGACGACAAAAAAATAGCAGAACAAAATCAATTGTGGTCGAATGGCATGTATCAGACGGGTGCAAAGCTAGGCTTCGATTTGCGAATCGGACGCAAATTGCCATCTATGTTAGCTCAACATGATTTTATCGTGCGATTTGTTAAGTTCGCATGCATTGATACCTGTACTATGAACCGACGATCATTGGTTTCCATGTTCGAAGCATGGCGTCGTGGCTATGGCCATGGATGGAAGAAGAATCAGGTCGATTTTAATTATGATATATTTTTCGACAATTTTATTCAGGTGGTGAAGGACAAACAACAGTATGTTTGCTGGAGTGTTCCAATTATGCAGGCTGTTAAAAGAAACACGATGAACCATACTTCCTCCTGAATGATTCAGTGGACTATGAAATTTTTGACTGGCATACTACAGGGATTCGAGATCTTTTAAAATTCCTACATTGTAAACAATCCGAAAGCTAATTTAATCGATGTTTGTTTAACAATAAAATATTCCTTTTATAAGTTTAGACAACTTAATTAGAAAAAAAGAATTTCAACGATCAGTTTCTGAGTGATATCTTTAACAGGAACACCGAAGGTCACTGTTGATAAATGTTTTGGACTAGATTTTCTACAGGGCGTAGGTGTGTATAGTTACCACAATATCTGGTATTTCTATGTTGCTGAACCTATCTTATCAAATGGCTCAAGATATTAGTATGAAAGATTCAATTTCAAAATAAACTGGAGAGAATCAATACATAATATAGTTTCTATCCTCAGAAGAGTAGATTCACCTTGTTGAAGAGTGTGTATCAAGGGGGAAGCATCGTACTTTTATATAGGGTATCCAGAAATTATAGGACCCCTTTTATTTTTGAAATTTT